TAAACCCTGGAATAATGTATTACATAATATGGCAAGAGTGAATTTTACATTATGTGGCAAAATATGGGATTAAGTTAAAGACTTTAAAAGAAGGCAAGCATCCTCAATAATCTAGTTGGATTTAAATATAATCATATTTTTCTGCATAAGGCAGAGTGTAATGGTTAATTTGAATTGGCAACTTTATTGAATTAAAAGAAGCCCATGATTAAGAGACTTACAGGTGTGTCAATGAGGGTGTGACTAGGAATCATTGTCATGGGGGATAGACAACTGAAACAGAGATCCTTCCTAACCATGGGCAACACTGTCCAATAGGATGATGGCTTGGATGAAATAAAAGTTGGAAGAACAAGGAAGGAGCAGCAGATGCAAGGTTATTCTTCTTGATTGCTACTGTGATTGCCTGATTATACTTGGATTCTCGCTTCTTCACTCTTCAAAAGTGGACTCTACCAGTGATTCTCCAGAGGCCTTCACTCTTGGACTAGGGTAGCACCACTGATCCCTCTTGTTCTGAGGCTTTAGCCTCTTGGACTGTGCAGCTACTGGTTTTTCCAGCTCTCCAGCCTGCAGAAGGCCATTGTGGACTTCTGGTCACATAAGCCAACATAATAAACCCCCTTTTAATAATTATACTTCCTGTTCATTCTGTTTCTCTAGAGAACCCTGACTAATACAAAGAGGCAGAGGACATTCCTGAAAGGGAATAAGGGGTCAATGCTACCTTAAAACCAGAGTTTTAGGGAATGTGGCTACAAGATTAGAAACACCTGTAGTAGCAGAAGCAGGAAGCTGAAGGAGGCTGTTTCTGCTGATTCCCCAATTCCAGACTTTTTGCCTCCAGAACTGTGAAAAATGAATTTCTGTTGTTTTAAGGTGCCCATCTTTTCATAATTCATTACATTGCCTTTTATTGATAGCAATTCCTGGTAACTCCATTGATGTTATATTAGTGATTCCAAATTGAATCTATCTTTATATTGCACATAAGCGTATTTCCCTTTGATAGGAAACATACATATAATTATCATCACAGCTTTAAATAATGTAAAATTTACCTTTGTAATAAAATATCATATTTTAATCAGATAAAATTTAAAAATGCATTGACTATGTCATTCTTTCTTCTGTTGGGCCATTTTGATTACAAGAAACATTATCAAATTGTCACATTAAAAGGAGTTATTGGAAAATGTACCTATGCACATATGCAAGGTTTAATATCTGATAAAGGCTGATTATCAAGGGAAAGGTTGAATAATGAGGCTCTTGGGGACATGACAGCATTGCATTGCATGGGGCAAAAGATAGGGAATTCATGATCAAAGCTGGTAACAGTGGTATACTGAGGATCAGTCATGGACTTGAATTTGCTCCTTTTGTCACTTTTTAGTTTTCTACTGTTTCAAAGTCTTTTACCACAGACATGAATTCAAATTCTCCTAAAAGCATATTATTTGTCAATTATGCTTTATAGCTGCATCATAGTTTTTTCCTCTACAAATGAACACACAAAATCAACTTGTCATTACAAATTGTGATAATATGCAATCATCAAGAAAAAAGAATTATTTTTAAAAGCAATTTATACTTGATACACTGTTTGGTTGGACAAATATAGGATTTGGGTCTTTAATGGCCCCCTAAAACTCATGTGTTAGACAATGTAGAGATGTTCAGAGGTGAAACAATTGAATTTTGATAGAGTTAAACACATTAGTGAATGGATCTATTTGCCGCATTAATTTGAATGTATTATTGGATGGTGACAATAGACAGGGGGTGCATGGATGGATAAAGTAGGTTCTTGGGCCTGTGCCCTTAGGGATTACATCTTGCCCCCAGCTCCTCAGTCTGTTTCTCCTCCAGCTGTCATAAGCTTCTTGGCTTTCCTTTGCTACACCATTCCACCATGCTGTTCTGCTGACCATGGACTGAAATCTCTGAAACTGTAAACCCCAAATAAGCCTTTCCTCCTCTAAGGAATTTGGTCACAGGGATGAAAATCTAGCCAACACTATTTTTCTAAAACAAAATATTCCTGAAAAATACTATTGAAAAGGATGGCAATACAATTCTATCTCCAAAATAAAATGTTTTTGTGTGGCAAATCCAAAACTGTACACAGTTTAGCATTTTTAAAGTCTAAAATGATAGTTTACACAAAAATAAATGAATAAGGGAAAGTATAAGAAATATTATAGTATATTATAGTATACTATACTATTTTACATTCTGAATTCCCATTGGTTAAAATAGGACCTGGGTATTTCCAGGAATCTTCCTCCCCCTTCACCGTGGAATCATTTTGCTATATAAATGAGCTGAAAATGTATAAGTCTGAAAAAAATGTCATTATTAAAGTTTATATATTAAAAAAAGGTGTGGATACATATTTTAATAGGGAATTTATTCTAAAGCTAGGGAAGCCAGTTTTTAAGAAAGAGAGAATATTAATTTTAATAAAACTTATCAATACAATAAAACTTATTATACATAAAAATTCTTCAGTAATAAAAAGCACAATTTTATGTGCGGTAACAAAAAGAAAGAATGATTGTTTAATAATTTTCTAAATATTGACTAAATCACATAGTGTTTGTCTTATCCAGATCATGGTCCTGATCCAAGATGGACAAGTCTAAAGGAGCAAACAAATACATTTCTTAATTTATCCAAGGCCACTTACCGTTAAATATCAGGTGCAGTGCTCTTGACTATCCTTGATGGAGTTTATGGTCTAATGTGAGTGATTATCTTGATATATAAAGGTTAGCTATAAATCAAAGTAGGAGGACCAGAAAATTCTCTGGATCATCTTGGAAGACTGTTGTGGTTTGTCTCCAAAGTCTCAAGTATTGAAGGCTTCTTCCCACCGCAGAAATGTTCAGAGGGGAGGCATTTGGGAAGCCAGTAAATCATAAGCCTCTGTCTTATTGAGGAGGTTACTCCACTGAATGTTTCATAACTGAATGGACTAGCAGGAGTCGGTGAAAACCACAGGAGGTGGAACTTAGTTAAAGGGGCAAATTCCTTATGGAGAGCCCTTCTGGACTATATCTTGTTCCTAGACTCTTTCTCTCTGTTAGATATCTGGCTTCTATAAGGAAAGAAATTTTTTCTCACATACCCTGTTTCCCCTGATGTTCTGCCTCATCTCAGCTTAAAGAAATGGAACAGGTAAACATGAATTGAAACTTCCAAAACCATGAGACATTAAACATATTCCCCTCTTTAAGTTGTTTTCTTAGGTGTTTTGTACAGGAACAAAACGTGACTAACATGGTATAATGGATCATGAACATGTTCCTAAAGTACTAAACATTATTGACGCATGTCCTTCAGCCTGAGACTGGAGGAAGAAATCACAAAGTGTGCTATATAGCACAGAACATGAACTTCAGGGTCAAATTTCTAGTTAGTTGTAAATAATCCTGTCTCCCTAGAGATATTACTTTTCTGAGGACAAGTATGTTAAAAACTATCATTTTATCTGTAAAGTAAAAATAACAAAAGCACCTATCTCATAAAGTTACTTAAAAAATTCAACATTATAATGAATCTTAAAACACAACAGTGTACCTGGCCCCTGATGGATTCTTGTTGAAAGTTGTGCTCACAAGAAATCTATCTGTGAGATAGGGATTAGCATGTAGGATGTGCTTTTAGGATGAATACCTATGGAGAAATAAAGGAAAGGTACTAGTTTGAAAGGGCTTCAGCCTACCATACTGCTAGGGACTGGTATTTTATCCAGTATTAACTAGTTACTGAGGGCTAGCTCTTCCTAAGACATGTATACAACATTGGTTAGATGGGTCCCCAGGTAACCGGCAATTTTCAGAATGGATTTACAGCTAAGAGATGTTACTGGCAGCAGTCCCATCAGTGTGGAATCCCTGAAGTCCTATAGGCATGTTCTTTGAAGTATTCAAATTACAACAGAATTTAATTCAGTTAATTGCTTAGTATTAGATATTGCGACTTTTTTCTCAATGTAAGTGAACTTCAATTAGGTAAGAGCTAAAGTACTCATAGAGATCAAGGGATGATCAAACTTTAGCAACAACAGCAGCAACTAGTGATGTTCAAAACAAGCCCTGGAAATATTGATCCACTTTGACTCACCAATTACATACCTAAGAATGTATCCTAAGGAAGTAATACAAGTGCACAGAAATCTTTAATTTTAATGTTGTTTATTAAAGCATTATAGTTGTAATAGGAAAATTTAAATGTCTAGAAATATAAAATAAATAAATAGTATGGCCATTATTGAATATATTATGGTAAATTCATAGACTAGAATACTCTTTAGTCATTAAGATGATGCAGTTGGAAAAAATGATACAGGCAAATGTTTATTGACATAAGAAAACATTCATGGCATAAAAAGTGGTGGTGTGGGCAGCAGGTTACTGAGATTATAAGATGCACAGTATATTTTGGTAGAGGTTCACAAAAATTTATTCTCATGCCTCATTGATAGTTATCCCTGAATTCTGAGGTCATGGGAAATTATATTTTGTTTTGTTTTGTTTTTCATTTATCTGCATTTTATTATTTTTTCCATCCTTATTTCATGAAGTATTAATGTAAAGAGTTGTTTTTATGTGTATATATTTACAGAACAATGATAAGAGAAAATATATTTACTCACCTTCAAACTAATAAAATAAAAGTTATATAACGTCATATATAATACTGTATTATATACCACAAGGACCATAATATAAGCTAAAATTAATAAAACTCCAACACCCTTTAACTGACTATCTCATCTCATTAAGATTAGAAATGTGAATGGGGGGGGCCGTGCGGGAGCCATGGCGGCCTCGGAGGCGGCGGCGGGCGCTCCTCCCGTCCCGGAGGCCGCGCGGGGAGCCGCCGCCGCCGCCTCGGGCCCGTGGGGGCCCCTGGGGTCCCGGCTGAGGGGCAGCCGGCCGCGACCCGCAGCGGCGCCGCAGCAGCCCGCGGCCCCGGCGCCGCCCGCGCGCGAGCTGATCCAGCCGTCGGTGAGCGGGCTGTCGCGGGAGGTGCGGACCAACATCCTGTGCACCGTGCGCGGCTGCGGCAAGATCCTGCCCAACAGCCCGGCGCTCAACATGCACCTGGTCAAGAGCCACCGCCTCCAGGATGGCATAGTAAATCCAACAATAAGAAAAGATTTGAAAACCATACCAAAATTCTACTGTTGTCCAATTGAAGGATGCCCTAGAGGTCCTGACAGACCATTTTCTCAGTTTTCTCTCGTAAAACAGCACTTTATGAAAATGCATGCCGAGAAGAAGCATAAATGCAGCAAGTGCAGCAATTCCTATGGTACCGAGTGGGACTTGAAAAGGCACGCGGAGGACTGTGGCAAGACCTTCCAGTGCACATGCGGCTGTCCCTATGCCAGCAGAACGGCATTACAGTCTCACATCTACGGAACTGGTCACGAGATCCCTGCAGAACACAGGGATCCACCTAGTAAAAAAAGGAAAATGGAAAACTATCTACAAAACCAGAAGTTATCTAATAAGACCATGGAACCATTGAGCACTCAACCCCCTCCTCGACCAGATCCTCAAGAACTAGAAACTTCAGAAATAAAATTAGTAAATTCTTTTGAAGATTCTTGCAGCTCTAATGCCAGAAAACAGAGTGTCACAACACCTCCGAGATATCCTCAGAAGTTGCTTCTACCAAAGCCCAAAGTGGCTTTGGTTAAACTTCCGGTCATGCAGTTCTCTCCTGTGCCTGTCTTCCTGCCTACGGCCGACTCTTCCGCCCAGCCTGTGGTGTTAGGTATGGATCAGGGCTCCACTGCAGGTGCTGTGCACTTAGTGCCCTTGTCAGTAGGAACCCTGATCCTTGGCCTAGAGTCAGAGGCTTGTTCTCTTAAGGAGAGCCTACCTCTTTCAAAAATTATAAATCCTGTTGTTGAGCCAGTTAGTACCGGTGTTCAAGTGAACTTGGGTAAAAATCTGTCTAATCCTTTACAAGAACTAGGGAACACGTGTCAGAAGAACAGCATTTCTTCAATCAATGTACAGACGGATCTGTCCTATGCCTCACAAAACTTCCTACCTTCTGCACCTTGGGTTGGCCCCGATTCCTCTGTATCGTCTTGTTCTCAGACTGATCTGTCATTTGATTCTCAAGTGTCCCTTCCCATTAGTGTTCACACCCAGACGCTTCTGCCCAGCTCTAAGGTAACTTCATCTATTGCCGCTCAGACTGATGCATTTACGGACACTTGTTATCAGCCAGGTGGGATCTCCAGAGAAACCCAAACCAGTGGGATGCAAAGTCCCACACGTGGCCAGGTACAGATGGACCAAGCTGGAATGTGCAGAGACATTTTTGAGAGTGTCCATTCATCATACAGTGTCCCTGCAGCCACTATTATAAGCAGCAGCTTAGTAGCAGAGACAGTAACTCGTGGTTTGTTACCTCAGAATGACCCTAAGACTTTAAATCAAGATATTGAGAAATCTGCACCCATTTTGAGCTTCAGTGCACAGAATAGTATGCTTCCTTCACAGAACATGACAGATAATCAGACCCAAACCATAGACTTATTAAGTGATTTAGAAAACATCTTGTCAAGTAATCTGCCCGATCAGACATTGGATAACCGTAGTCTTTTGTCTGACACAAACCCTGGGCCTGACACTCAGCTGCCATCTGGCTCAACCCAGAATCCTGGAATAGATTTTGATATTGAAGAGTTCTTCTCAGCTTCAAATATCCAGACTCAAACTGAAGAGAGTGAACTTAGCACCATGAACACTGAGCCAGTCTTGGAATCACTGGACATAGAGACCCAAACTGACTTCTTACTTGCAGACACATCTGTCCAGCCCTACGGGTATAGAGGAAGTTCTCACTTCCTAGGCCTTGAGATGTTTGACACGCAAACGCAGACAGACTTAAACTTCTTTTTGGATAGTAGCCCTCATCTGCCCCTTGGCAGCATCCTGAAACACTCCAGCTTTTCCATGAGCACTGATTCATCAGACACAGAGACCCAAACTGAAGGAATCTCCGCTGCTAAAAACCTATCTGCCCTAGAGAGCAAAGTTCAGTTGAACAGTACAGAAACACAAACCATGAGTTCAGGTTTTGAAACCTTGGGGAGCTTGTTCTTTACCAGCTATGAAACTCAGACAGCAATGGATGACTTTCTTCTAGCTGATTTGGCCTGGAACACGATGGAATCTCAGTTCAGCTCTGTGGAAACTCAGACATGCGCCGAGCTGCACGCAGTCTCCAACTTCTAAAGAAAATGCTTCTGTGGTTGGAGACTCCCGTTGCTGCAGCTTCATCTGCTTTGCCATCTCTCTTCTGATTTGAAGACACCAAGGGAATTTACAGCTGTCTTCAGCTTTTGCAAGTTTCCGTGTAGTCACTGCCATCCCTCCACTCATGAGCTATTACTGATGCTAACATGCGCGAACAGTCCTTTCCTCACAAGAGGTTTGTTGCTGTGAAATGATTACTGCCTAGAGAAAGGGCAGCAAGCACTTAGTGTAAATAGTGATTCTTCCAAGTACTACATCCAGACTATGGAGACACGGTTGTTAAATCATGCCTGTTAGTTCATCCTGGGGTGTGTGGTCCTGTGCTTTCATACCACCATCAATCCAGAAGCCTTCTGTGCCCAGATGTGTGGGAGTTTTCCCCATGTACCAGCAAGCAGCTCTGCAGCAGATGCCACTTGGGTGTCCTCTAATGCTCTTCAGTTCTGACACTATCTGGAGTCCAGGCCTCCAGAGTGTCTAACCCAGCACTTAAATTTTAGGGTTGCCACATTCTCCTCCCTGGGTTCAATTTATTCATGAGTGGCTGGCAGAACTCAGGGGAACATTATGTTTACTGGTTATTGCAAAGAATACAAATGAAGAAATGCTCAGGGTGAGGTATGTGGGAAGGAACTGGCTTCCATACCCTCACTAGGAGAGCCGACTTCCAGGAATCCAAGTTTGACTATCTGGAAGCTCACTGAACCCAGTCCTTTTGGGCCTTTATTGAAACTTCAAGGGTATGATTGATGACATCACTGGCCATGATCAACTTAACTTTCAGCCTCTCTCCCCTCCCAGAAGGTAGAGGGTTAAGGCAGGGTAAGGCTGAAGATAATCCCACCCCTCTAATCATGTCTTTGCTGTGATGAGTCCTCATTGTAAAGCTACCTAGGGGCTGCTCATTAGTACACACAAAAAAATTGCTGGAAATAACAAGGATTTTAGGAGTTGTCTACTACCAGGGAGGAAGACCAAATATGAATATTACCACATCTATAAACACCCTTCCTGCACTCCACAGCAGACCAAAGTGGGGCACCAGAACTGCTTCCCACCGTGCACCTACAGGCTGCATCTGACTTGTCCTCAATGTTAAAGTAGGGAAAGAGGACACTACCCCTCAAACCCAGATTTCAAAACTTTATACTTCTGAGCTTGATAGGGCGAGAGTGCAATCTGCAATTATTTTAAAGTTACTTTTCCTTCCATCCACCACCCATCTTTTCCTTGAATAAAGAAACACAGGTCTAATAAATATATCATTTGTGTCTTGAGGCTAGCAATTACAGAATAAACTATCAAACTTGCTTCAGTAATCAAGAATATTTTCTACTTTGAGACAAGGACAGCATCAAGTATGCTTTGGGGGTTCTCTAGTTAGTAGATCCTGTTTTGTTTTGTTTGTTTGTTGATTTTTTTCTTGGAATTGGGGATTAAACCCAGGGGCATTTAACCACTGAGTGACATCCCCGGTCCTTTTTAGTTTTGCTTAGAGCCTCACTATGTTGCTGAGGTTGGCTTTTTTTTTTTTTTTTTTGAACTTGAGATTTTCCTGCCTTAGCCTCCCAAGCTGCTGGGATTGCAGGTGTGTGCCACTGTGCCCAGCCTGAATTCTTAATGGTTGCCCAACTCTCAGGCAAGTGCAGCCTGTGTGTTTTCAAACTTTACCCAAAAATGCTCTGTTTTTTTTCTGTGGCACATGCTTGTGATGCTGAAACCTAACTCCTCAAAATAGAACTTAAGAAGGAAACTAATGATTCATTAAAGTAAATTGATGGTGTTGGTAATAATGCTTATCCCATCTGTCTGAAAGAGAATTGGTAATGGATTAATAACATATCCAAGCAGATGAACTAATACCTAGTAGATAACTTTGCTTTGGTCACAGTTGCCTATGAATATGAGTTTCAAAATGAACATAAAGCCTTAACTTAGATTTTCATTGTTTTAGAATCATCATGCCTTAATGTTCAAACATCTATTTAAGTCGTCCTGATAAAGAAGAAATGCATGTTTGTTTATGGCTTTTTGTAAATACATATGCAGTGATCTATGGCTTTACTTCTGTTTGAGACGATGTTTGTTAATCTAGCCAATAGTTATTTACAAAAAGTGGAGCATGTGGTTGTTCTTCATGTACAAGAACTGTTCCCCCGCAAAACCTCAGTTACCTGGATTGTCCTAAGATCATCTGTAAAAACTGAAATTCAATGATTAAAAGGAAGCTAGAATTAAAAAAAAAATAAATAAAATTAAAAAAAAGAAATGTGAATGGGTTAGAAAACAAATAAAAAATTAGGAAAAGCTCCCACATTGTACAGGGGTAATTTGAGCTTGGAATACAGTGCTGCCTTTTTTAAACCAGAAAGAGTTTGGCCTGAAAGTTATGGGTGCACTCTCTGGAGTGATTTTTTTTTTCTCTGAAACTGAAGAAGATATCCATATATGCCCTGAACTATTTTGCTACTAATGCAACGTAAGCTTGAACTCTATAGATTTTAGCACCCTTGTAGAGGGTATTGCATTATTTTATGTTTTTTTTTTTTTTTATTAAGCTATCTTATTTTTGCAATTGAATTTTTCAGTCTAGGTATTAGACTTTGCATTCAAATGTATTAATTATCATTTTACTAGTTTCAGCAGGTAGCTATTAAGATAATGGATTTTTATAATACTGTCCAGCGTGTTAGCTAATTCTTTGAGTTTTATGCTGTCTGAATACTTTATAAATGACATCCAGGGAAATGGCAAGGGCAGAACCTTGGGGACCAAGAGGAAGCTGTGACCATGTTTTTATTTCAGGAGGTAGGCGTTCATTAACACCCCCTCTCAGTTTTCAGCAGTTTCTGTGGCACACATACCCTACTTTATCCAAGTATTTACTCAACGCTCTCCTTCTTAGGAAAACTTTCTTTAGCCTTCCAACTTGAAATTGAAATCTCTTCTTTCTAGTACTCCCGTTCTGCTTTATTTTTTTTTCTTAGAAATATCATTTGTCATCACCTTTTTACTTTTATTTCTTTCATTTAAAAAAAAATTGTTAAGGGATCTGTATCCCTGCAGTGGATTGTGAACTATAATGCCAAGATCACTTGCTAATTTAGCTCAGTGCTACAGGATTATGTATCATTGCAATAGTTTGTGAACTTTATTATCTGAGAATGCTATTAATTTCACTCAGTAGTGTATCTCCGGGACATATAATAGTACATCACATGAAGTAAATATTCAATAAACATTTGTTGAAAAGGTATGAATGGAGAGAGCAAAAATTAATTGTTCTAACGTGCATTAGTGACAGAACCATTTTTTGAATGTGTGTATGTGGTGCTGGGGGTTGAACCCAGGGCCTTGAGGTAAGCTCTCTACCAAATGAGTTACATCCCCAGCCCCGTAGGACCTCTTTTAAAAGATGTATCCAGTGGTAATAATCAATCATATGTTAAGCACAGATTTCTAAGAAGTAATCACTAAAATGATATCTATTAGACACTTATTTTAATTTGCACAATATTTTAGGTATTAGGGAATGCAACAAAGGATAGATAGGTAAATTTTCTTCTCTCATAGCGATAGCATTTTAGCTCACTTTCCAGCCAATGATTACAGCATTATGTCATCTGAACAGACATCAAAAGCAGGAATGATATAGGCATTATACAAATGTCACTGCAAAAGAAATTTTGTCCTGTCACTAATTTTTCTTTGGAACATATTTCTTCTTGGAAATAGATTTGGTCCAGAGAACCTATACTATCATTCATTTTCAGGATTTAAACTGTAATATTAACTGACCATCCAAATGGCACAAATGCAAAAAAAAAAAAAAAAAAAAAGCAACAACAATTACAACTTTCTTACTTTATTACTTTTGAAAATGGCTTCAAATGTAAGAAATTTCCCCTATGTCTCATGCTGGAAAGCCACATTAAACTAATTGTTAATATATATATACTATATTACCTTCAAAATAACTATTAAATGCAGGATATTCATAGAAATATTCATGTAAACGAAATGAGCATTCAAATGCAACATTTAAAAATTATTATTTTAGCTAGCAATATTCATATTTGCGTATAGTTAGCATAATAGCTTAATTTTAAAATGCCTTGCATTTTTCACCCCATTTAACAATTTTTCATATTTTTAAAGGGTGGTGTGGTGAATTAATGTGGGAATATTTGCATTATCTTATAAATAACTTATGCATTGTTAAACAGAGGATGAGAGCCAAGTCCTTTAAAAATTTTGCACACATCTATTAATCATTTGATTATGTGCCTTTTCACGGACTGGCTGCATTGCTTCTTTATACTTGTAAAATATGACTACTACCAAGATACATAGCAAATTCTTGCTGCCAAAAATAAAATATATGAAATTCCTTAACTTAAGATGTTTTTATCAGTATATGTTGATAACACTGCCAAAAAATTCAAGAAAACTGCATTCTAGTGATTACCCTGTAGTTAAATTTTAATGCATTTAATAAAATATATGTATAACCTTAAGAATACATATATATATATATATATATATATATATATATATATATATATTAACATGCATACATGCTATAGCCACTGAGTTTTAAATTGCTTTAGAAAATATGTAATTGATATGATTGAATGTATATCTTCCTCTGAGAAGTGTCTGTTCAGCTCTTTGGTCCATTTATCGGTTGGGTTGTTTGTTTGTTTTTTGTTTGTTTGTTTTTTTGGTGTTAAGTTTTTTTGTTTGTTTGTTTGTTTATTTGTTTATTTTTTTTAGTTCTTTATATATCCTGGAGATTAGTGCTCTGACATATGTGTGGCAAAAATTTGCTCCCAAAACATAGTGTTTCTCTTCAACCTCATTCATTGTTTCTTTTTTTGAGAAGAAGCTTTCTAGTTTGTTTCTATCCCGTATATTAATTCTTGATTTTATTTCTTGCACTTTAGGAGTCTTGTTAAGAAAGTTGGGACATAATTTAACATGATGAAGATTTGGGCCTATGTTTTCCTCTATTAGGTGCAGAGTCTCTGGTCTAATCGCTAGTTCCTTGATCCACTTTGAGTTGAAGTTTGAGCATGGTGAGAGACAGAAGTTTAATTTCATTTTGTTGCACATGTATTTCCAGTTCTCCCAGCATCATTTGTTGAAGATGCTATCTTTCCTTCAATGTATGTTTTTGGTGCCTTTCTCTAGTATGAGATAACTGTATTTATGTGTATTTGTCTATGTGTCTTCTATTCTGTACCATTGGTCTACATGTCTATTTTGGTGCCAATATCATGACATTTTTGTTACTGTAGCTTTGTGATATAGCTTAAGGTCTGGTATTTTGATGTCTCCTGCTTCGCTATTATTTCTAAGGATTTCTTTGGGTATTCTGAGTCTCTTATTTTTCAAAATAAATTTCATGATTGCTTTTTATATTTCTATAATAAACGACAATGTGATTTTAATTAGAATTGCATTGAATCTGTATAGTGCTTCTGGTAGTATGGCCATTTTGATAATACTAATTTTGTTTATCCAAGAGCATTGGAGAGCTTTCCATTTTCTATGGTCTTCTTCAATTTATTTCTTTAGTGTTCTGTAGTTTTCATTGTAGAGGTCTTCCACATCTTAAGTTGATTCCCAAGTAGTTTATTTATTTATTTATTTTTGAGGCTATTGTGAATGGAGTAGTTTTCCTAATTTGTCTTTCAGAGGGTTCATTACTGATATATAGAAATGCATTTGACTTATGGATATTAATTTTTATATCCTGCTACTTTGCTGAATTTGTTAATTAATTCTAGAAGTTTTCTGGTGGAGTTTTTTGGATCCTCTAATATAGAGTTATATTGTCATCAAATAATGATTTTGATAAAGAAATATATGAAAAAAATGTTCAATATCTCTAGTAATTAGAGAAATGCAAATCAAAACTACTCTAAGAGCTCATCTCATGCCAGTTAGAATGGCATTTATCAAGAATACACATAACAGTAAATGTTGGAGAGGATGTGGGGGAAAAGCCACACTCATTCATTGCCAGAAGGACTGCAAATCTGGAAAGCAGTATGGAGATTCCTTAGAAAAATTGTAATGAAACCACCAGTTGACCCAGCTATCCCACTCCTTGGTCTTTACCTAAAGGACTTAAAATAGCATACTACAGTAATGCAGCCATATCAATGTTCATAGCAGCTCAATTTATATTAGTCAAACTGTGGAAGCAACTTATATGTCCTTCAATAGATGAATGGATTAAGAAACTGTGGTATATATACACAATGGAATATTAATCAGTACTAAAATAGAATAAAATTATGGCATTTTCAGGTAAATGGATGTAGTTGAAGAATATAATACTAAGTGAAATAAGCCAATCCCCCCAAACCAAAGGCCAAATGTTCTCTCCAAAAGTGGATGCTGATCCATAATGGGGAGGGCATGGGAAAAATGGAGGAACTCTGATGGGCAAAGGCAAGGGAGGAGTGGAGAGGGGGCATAGGGGTAGGAAAGATGGTGGTATAAGATGGACATCATTACTCTAGGTACATATATGACTGCACATATGGTGTGACTGACATCATGTACAATCATAGAAATGTAAAGTGCTGCAATTGTGTATAATGAATCAAAATGCATTCTGCTGTCATATATACTTAAAATAAATAAGAAAAATATATAATTTATATGAAATTGAAACAAGCATGGTAAAATGATAATGAATATTAAAATATTTGTATTGAATGAGACATAAAATGTCTAGATGAAATTTTCCAGTAATTTGTAAAAGATTCAATTATTTTATGAATAAAAACAATAAAATTGAACAATAAAATTGAAGATCATTCTACATCTAGCACACAACTAAAATTGTTGTATATTATCTGTAATATATAGAAAACAATCACTGCCTGAACTAGACAAAGCTAAGATGGGTGAAATAACTTCAGAAAATAGAACAAGTCATCTGGTGTATCAGAGAATCACATGCACTGTCATGGGATGTCATATGATGTCACATAACTAAAGGTCATTTTGTGGAAATACAATGACAATTTGAATCTGAGTTTCCAAAACCAGCACAAAATGTGTAGTAATTAAACATTGACCCAGTGTTGACTAACAGCTATGTGTTTTAATTTTTTTTTTTTGAGTGGGCATACTGGGGATTGAGGTGCTTTACCACTGAGTCACATCTCCACCCCTTTTTATGTATTGAGACAGGTTATTATAAAAATATTCTCCAACTCCA